CCCCAAAACCCCAAAACCCCAAAACCCCAGGACTATAATCGTAAATTGAAATAAACTTAGAATTTCCAGCTTTAATCATCGATAGAGTCTAATTCTGACATTAAGTCACAATCTGGATATAAACACTCTGTACTAAAGTTAAAACTTCCTTTGATCTTAACATGCTCTAGTCGATACTTATCGAAAATATCACTGATAAAGGTTTTGTCCAATGAAGATTCTCCAAAATCAACTAATTGAAGAGAGTTCTGGAGATCTGACCTGGAGAGACCTGTGATTAGGTTATCAAATTCTCATGGATTTCCAACCCAATCGGACTTATAGAAGTCCTCTCAATTCAGTAAGTAAAGTGTATTGATGCTTGTCTCTACAAGTGCTTTGGAGAAATCGGGAACTCGAGGAAAACTGAATTCACAGCTAACAAATTCAATAGCTTCTACATGTCTGAAAGCTCTGAAAATTTTCCTGCTTTGGAGTTCACTAATTTCAAAATTAGTGATTTCTATTTTTGAAAGCACTTGATAACTCACTGATTTGAGCCAGTTCAAGTAAGGGCCAATTGTCGATGGTTTAAGAGAATTGAGTGATAGACAAGTTAGCTTCTTGGGAAAGCCATCCTTAAGGAAGGATTTAATCTCTCTGAAACTCATTTGTGAAAGTTTTTCAAGCTTTATTGTTCCTAAAGTTGGAAGAGAAACTCTCTTTTGTTTCCTTAAAAATTGTTGGTCAATAGGTTCTTTTAAGTCAAGATCTAGTATACTATCCGAGCTCAGATCTTTGTCGATGCCTAATATATTAAATTATAAATACCTTGGGCCAGGGCAGAGCACACCTGAGCATAAATTTGATTGGATCCTTCATAATCGGCATTCATTTCATAATCTAAAATAATATTGATACATTCCTTATTCAGAAAGGCTTGGGAAGTTCTCTCAGAAATCTGAAGCCAGCCCGCCCAACTTTGTCAAAGACTCATAGAAAACTGATCACTCAGTTATTCTAAGCGATATAGTTACCTCTAGGTAATTGAGCCAAGCCCATGGAAATTGTTGCTTATAAACCATTAACTGCTAACTGATTTTTTTGTATTGGAAGCTCACTAATCCTGAAGAAGATTACAAAAAAGTGAAGATTAAATTAAACGAACAAAGTTGTAAAATAAACTAAGCTAGCATTTATTTCAGCCTCCGCAATAAATACACATATCAGGTCAGAAATAAAGTAATACTCAAAATGGGAGGTTTCAGTGTTGGGGAACTAATTTGGCTAGATTCTTATAAAGAAACTATTAAAATCTAAATTTGTTCCTCAACGCTGCATTCTATATTGTTAATATCACTGTGCTTCAGAACCAATACACGCATATTTTGTAAGCGATAGGATTTACACCTGCTTAATACATTAAACAACTCCTCGCTCGATTTACTTTTTACTCTTCAAAACCTCTTTCATTATTAGTAAAAATATCTAGTGAATAATTCTACTAAGATCAAACAATGTAGTATGTCTGTAAGATCCCAGCCAAAGAGTATTCTTTATTTCTCTTCATTTCTTCATTTAGAATTTATACTAATCTATTCCAGTTTAATGCTCAATTTATCACCAAACTGAGAGAATTACTTCTAAATTTTACATTACTAATTAGTTAACTTTTAACATAAAAATACTTAAATTTATGAATAAAATGCACTTCACCACGAAGAGACTGGTTTTTAAACGTGCCAGAGGAATTAGAGCACCATAACAATTGTACTGCAGCTCACTGTTTCCTTTGCCTAACGTACTTGGATTCACACTGATTTGGATATCAGCCCAAGTGCAATATGTTTGTCATAAAGATTATACTAATGAGGGAAATCCAAGATGACATTTAAAGGGAAAGATTCCATTTCGGATACAAATTTGGCAGCTTCTAAATGTACTGGAGAAGACCTAGAGTCTGCTCAAGATTAGTTTATATATCTGAATGTGCTCCTTTAGGTAGAAGCTTGAGCCAAATTAAAGCTAATGAAGAACTAACTTCTAGAGCAAGATGAGTTACTAAAAGTGTGAATTGAACATTTAAGAGCTACAATATCTGAATCTCACTTTTTAGGTTGGAGATAACATTAAAATTCCCAAAAACTTACGTATTGATTCTATTATTTTCATTTTAGTATATCTCGCCTTATAAGAAGTGTCTAAAAGGAATAAATCTTGATGTTTCTCCAATGTTTCCACGATGATGAACTGTAGATATTCGATTCTTTGAGGAATGCGCAGACTTTGCATTACGACACATTTCATATCAACTTTATCTGCTACTTGTCTTATTTCAACCAAAATTGATTTTATTTGGTTGAGGCGAACCGAGTGCTTGATATCATCGCATCATGCATAGTTAGAGAGGATATTCTTAGAGTACTCTGCAATATCTTGAATAACTCTGAATTTCTTCAAAATTACATTAAACTCCTTTGGAGAGTTAAACTTCTTGTTGAATAGATGAAACTTAAATGTTTGTGATCCATCTGAGTAAAGATTCTTTTCAATCCCTAGAGTTCCAGCATGATCTCCCATACCTTGGCAATGCTCAAACTTCTCCATATTGATATTAAAATTATTAATGATTTAAGAACTTTTAAATTCCCACACCAAATAACGGGGTTTTGGGGTTTTGGGGTTTTGGGG